AACAATTTCGACTTTCGATTTAAGCTTTACATACCACGTTTTCTTCCGCTTCTTCTTCCTCAGACCCAGCTTCTGACCCTGTTTCCTCCGCCTCCTCAGATCCAGATTCCGACCCAGCCGATTATGACCCAGCCGATTCCTCCGCCTTTTCCTTTGAGGATCTTTCCTCTGAACTCGTCTTATCCACTATCCGTGGAACTCTTTGGTTTATTGGAGTTCCCTCGGCCGAAATAGATGTTTGCTTTCTACGCCCCATTTCTTGGTCAAAATCGACAAATTTTTCATCCAATGAAGCCATTGTCTACGAAATAAAAAAAAGATAGAATTTCAACTTATCCAATTTTAACATTCCTTCTCCCGAATTGCAAGTTAGTTGTGTCTAGTTGTGCGATTTTCAGAGGGAAATTTCGTCTTTGACAGCAGTTTGAAAGGAGAATAAGAAATCGTGGCTTGCGAAGAAGAAAAAGTCGATTACTTGAGTTTGGTCTGGATCATCCGCATGGGTCGGGTCAATAGCTGGCTGGGTCGTAAATAAGTTGAGTTTGGTCTGGTTTTTTTGTCCTTTCAGGCATTTTCGAATAAAAAAGAAAATCAAAGAGAAAATCATTTAGGCCGAGGACGTTTGATAATTGAGTTTATAACGTAGGGTTATATGAGGTGTTGATCCAAATCCGATCTCTTTTCTCTTGTCCTATCCGTCGATTTTCCCGATTTTCTATAAATTTTCTCTGAAATCTTCAATACTCGAGGAGTAATATCTTTGTCGCTCTCTTTTTGCTCAAGTCGCAAGAGTAAAGATTTAAGACTGCATCAGTATATTGAGTGTAGTCGGCGATGGAGCTTCCCCGGTGTTGCTGTTTTTCGGAGATAATTTGAAGGGGTTTTACGGATTGATTCGGTTTGATTTTGGCGGCCCTGATGAAAAACAGATTTGAGATCGGTGGAAGGGCAGAAGATTTGCATCGCTCCATAGTCTGATTGGCTTAGCGACGGCTGATTGGGTTCCGGCGGTGGCCAACAAATTTGGATGGCGTCATTTCATGGTAGAGGTTTGGCTTCTAGAAGTTCACGTTTTTAAATTTGGGCTGTAAATTTATTGTATCATCTGGGCTTTGCCCTTCTGTATTAGCCCACTGGGCTTTTCTAATGAGCAATTGCTAGTTTAGATTGCTCTCTACTGGTCGTATTTGACACCCAAAGACCATCATTTTCACAACGAGCATCCGCTACGACTTTGCATGAGTGTTTTTTTCTACTCATAGTTGGTTCTCTTTCAAAATGTAAATGTGTGTTTGTTAACATCGAAACTTTTGTGCCTAAGAGCATTTAAATATAAATCGGTGTTTCTAGTTTGGGTAGTAAAAACTTTGTTTTCAAATGCTTAAAGATCCAACCGAAAAGGTTTCAGAATGAAAGAAGCACAGAAAGTAAACAAACCCTAAATTTCTCAAGTCTGAAATGAATCTGTGGCTCTCTCCCTTTAAGTACATAACAAAGAGATTCCTACTTCCATAGCTTACGCAGAGACATGTTCTTCTCTGTGTCTTTCTTCATAACCTTCGCAACAGCCATCTCAAAGTCTTCTTGAGTCACGTGCACTCTCCTCTCCCGCAACGCAAACATGCCCGCCTCCGTGCACACAGCCTGACCGCAATAACCAAAAACATA